GGTGCTGTTTTTGTTCCAGAGTTAGATTCAGGAGTTGCTAATGTTGACATAGTTTCTTGCACAGTCATCATTGGTGTAGCTTCAAGTGATGTCATCTCTATGGAAGACTCGGTTAATGTAGTTGCTGCGGTAGATTCTAAGTTTGTTATCCATTGTGTTGAATCAGATGTTGTTATACCTGTGGAGGATCCGTCTGTATTAATCCTTGCAGTAGAATCATGTATTGCATTGTTTGTGGTAGATTCAGGTGTTAGTAGATTTGTGGTAGCTTCAGGTGTTGTTGTCATTGTAGCCTGAGGTGTTGGTGTCTCTGTATTAGATTCTGGCATAGTTATGTGACTGGTGGGCGGTAGTGTCGTTATTCCTGTAATAGATTCAGTTTGTATAGATGAGTCAAGTTTTGTTATATCAGTGGTAGTTTCAATTGATGATATTTCTACTGTAGATTCAGGTGCTGTTTCTATTGCCATGTTAGATTCAGGTGTTGCTAATGTCGACATAGTTTCTTGCACAGTCGTCATTGGTGTAGTTTCAAGTGATGTCATCTCTATGGAAGACTCGGTTAATGTAGTTGATGCGGTAGATTCTAAGTTTGTAATCCATTGTGTTGAATCAGATGTTGTTATACCTGTGGAGGATCCGTCTGTATTAATCCTTGTAGTAGAATCATGTATTTCATTGTTTGTGGTAAATTGAGGTGTTAGTAGATTTGTGGTAGCTTCAGGTGTTGTTGTCATTGTAGCCTGAGGTGTTGGTATCTCTGCAGTAGATTCTGGCATAGTTATGTGACTGGTGGGCGGTAGTGTCGTTATTTCTGTAATAGATCCAGTTTGTATAGATGATTTCAAATATATTTATATCAGTGGTACCTTTCATTTGATGATATTTCTACTGTAGATTCAGTGCTGTTTTTATTGCCGTGTTAGATTTCAGGTGTTGCTAATGTTGACATAGTTTCTTAGCACAGTCATCATTGGTGTAGTTTCAAGTGATGTTATCTTTATGGAAGACTCAAGTGCTGTTGTTGCTGTGGTAGATTCCGGGCAATGTTATCCAATTTGTTGAATCAGATGTTATATCTGTGGATGTTTCATCCGTAGCAATTATTGTAGTAGAATCAGATATTGTAATCACTGTGGTAGATTCAAGTGTTAGTAGATTTGTGGTAGCTTCAGGTGTTGCTGTCATTGTAGCCTGAGGTGTTGGTATCTCTGTATTAGATTCTGGCATAGTTATATGACTGGTGGGCGGTAGTGTCATTATTCCTGTAATAGATTCAGTTTGTATAGATGAGTCAAGTTTTGTTATATCAGTGGTAGTTTCAATTGATGACATTTCTACAGTAGATTCAGGTGCTGTTTTTGTTCCAGAGTTAGATTCAGGAGTTGCTAATGTTGACATAGTTTCTTGCACAGTCATCATTGGTGTAGCTTCAAGTGATGTCATCTCTATGGAAGACTCGGTTAATGTAGTTGCTGCGGTAGATTCTAAGTTTGTTATCCATTGTGTTGAATCAGATGTTGTTATACCTGTGGAGAATCCGTCTGTATTTATCCTTGCAGTAGAATCATGTATTGCATTGTTTGTGGTAGATTCAGGTGTTAGTAGATTCGTGGTAGCTTCAGGTGTTGATATCATTGTAGCCTGAGGTGTTGGTATCTCTGTAGTAGATTCTGGCATAGTTTTGTTACTGGTGGGCGGTAGTGTCGTTATTCCTGTAATAGATCCAGTTTGTATAGATGAGTCAAGTTTTGTTATATCAGTGGTAGTTTCAATTGATGATATTTCTACAGTAGATAACGGTGCTGTGGTTATTGCCGTGTTAGATTCAGTGTTGCTAATGTCGACATTGTTTCTTGCACAGTCATCATTGGTGAAGTTTCAAGTGATGTCATCTCTATGGAAGACTCGGTTAATGTAGTTGCTGCGGTAGATTCTAAGTTTGTTATCCATTGTGTGATCATATGTTGTTATACCTGTGGA